CTGCTATGCTTGAGGAGGCAGGGAGGCTCCAGAACAATCGATCACCACAATTGGCACCCTCGCCAGGAGCTCTTACATGTGGCAACCAAAGTTGTCAAATTCATTAAGGTTCTCCATTTTGGCCAAACCCATTTTCCGGGCTAAAGGCCTCACTACATTCAACCCTTACGCCCAAGCCATTCCGGCATGCTCCACTAAGTGGAGTCCACTTCGCTCTGCATACGGCCTCCACGACTTTGGCGACGGGCTGAGCTCCACTCGGCAAGACAAAAAGCCAATGGGTTGCTACCATATTACCACACACGAGCCACTTGGAAGCTCCACCGGTTGGCAATATCACTCCCACCTCATGTAACCAGGCACGGGAGCCCCCAACACCGGATTCTCACACCAACTGTCCCCCGTCATGCCGACAAGGCAACGTGGTGCCCCGCACCAGAGGCACCCGTCAATGCGCCCCTCCCTCATATGCCCCTCCCGGCATACCCGAATCCGCTCCACCCAGTCCGATGCAGTTGAGTTACCCAATCTGGGGTGCCGCATCCAGCTGGCCCCGCTCCAGACCACTCCCAGCTACCCGCGCCCCCACTGCCGCCGAGGAGGTGCCCACCTCAGGTCGCTTCAGCCCGGCTCCGACTAGTGTAACAGATGCTGCAACAACTCCTCCCTTGCTCCTCTCCCTCCCGCGGCGCTTGATTCGGCTGTGGTATAGACGATCCAGCCACCCACGGCCCGGCTCCACTGAGTCTCCAGCCCCCAAGGCGATGACCCAACCCCAAATCAGCCGGCCGGCACTCCCACAGCTCACACCCAAAGCGCACAACTAACAATCCACCTTTGCGCCACTGTCCACTATTAATTGCTCACCACACAATGTCTAGAAAGTGCAGATCTTGTGTGGTGTAAAGCATAAGGGGTAGTATATTTCTCTGGTATTTGGGTTACTGGGAGGTGAAAATACAATAAACATTATGATAATACTATCTCAAGTGAAAGTAAGCCTTACTAAGAGTTTATAGGTTCTTGAACCGCCTCCATTGGGTTAGCGGTAGAGGAGATATTGATAGATACATTGCCAGTACTTTAGACCCCCTTTTCTGGACTGTCTTTGGGGATGAGATACTATCATTGGGCCCAGCGGCCACATTGTCACGTGATCCAGATGGGGGCCACCCCCTCAAAAGGGCGACCTTCTGTCAAACTGTAACTTCATTCTCTCGCCCACTCCGCATACCCAGTGGTTGCACCCGCGAGCTGCACGGCGCCGCGCACCCACCATGCGCACAGCTGCCCTGCGCCCGGCCATCCACAGGCCTGGGCCCACATTGCGCACCCCAAAGGAGCGAGCGCCCCGGACAGCCCATTGGTCATCTGGTGGATGAGGCCCATCTGGGTCGAATTGGGCGCCGCGGCGGGTGCATCGCCCGCACATCGACTGAAAACCACGCCATCTTGGACTCGCCAGCGTAGGATGCAAAGTGCCAATCCCATGGGATTGGTGTGGTGATTTTACTTGGGGATAGGCTAAAAGTGATATTTCTGAAGCTAGTGTTGGTCCAAAAAGTGCAAACATTGGTTTATTTAAGAAATCGGCTTATTTAAGAGCTCCTATTGCTGATAGGTTTTTGAACCATCCAATTCCGTGTAGAAACGGCAAAGTTATGGCCAGTTAAAGTAGTACTTTAGCATGGGATTCGGACCGGTAGGTAGAAGCATCGGGGATTATACGGAGCTGATTTAGGTGAATGGTGGGCAGGGACACGTGCGCATAACACCTGATGATACATTATGTATTGTTGTATGTTGTCTAGAGGTGGCCACCCGGATCCGTTAATAGCGGACAGAGGTTAATTTCCGTTAATTTTCCGTTAATTAACGGAAAATAACGAAAAAAGACAAAAATTAACCAAAAATTAGCGGATTTTTGGATTTTTTGGGGATTTTTGGGTTTTTTCATATTTATAGTTTATGGAATTCGCTGTTAGAGAGTATGTTTGTATTTTATTTCAACCTATGCATACTAGATTTTCAACTAGCCGCAGTTGTTGTGACTTTTTGGTTTTTTTTTCGATTTTTTTGAATTTTTTTCGTTTTTTCTGAATTTTTCTCCCTTTTTCTTTAACGAAATTCAACGGACAGCTGATAAAAATTAACGAACCGGATTTAACGGACCGGATGGCACCCTTGAGTGGCCACCTCTAATGTTGTCTTGTCTTGATGTGACTGCGAAGGACCTGCGATTGGGCATCGCGCGCACGCGGGTTTTGAAACAGGCGCATGCAGGTCACGCATGTAATCGATCTTTGGCCCATTGCCTGGTCTCTCCACGACCAGCGAGCCATCATCTGGCTGCGCCTCCACTCGCCACATACAGCAGGCCCCGGGGAACGATCCCCGTTCGTGTTTGGCCCAACCGCGCATCCGAGGGAACGAGCGCCCCGTTACCGCCCACCAAGTGTGGTGGAGAGGGCCGGTTGTACCGTCACCAGCCGAGTCGTAGGGCGTGGCGACCTCGCAGGCTTTGGAAACCAGTAGCGCCCTTCAGGGCCGCAACAATTGGCCAACCTCGGTTCACCGGTAGGGCCCGAAAGGAGGGGCTGCTGCCCGCCTCGGCTCCGAAACCAAATGTTGTGCCCAATTGGGCATGCCCTCAGTGGCTTGTACAAAGACATGGAGGCGAGGTTCCCATGGCAGTGGTTACATGCAAGACAAACAGACAATGGCACAACTGGTACAAAAAAACGTTTAGAAAATTGTCCAAATTAACATAATGTTCAACCAATTACTAGTGGGCCCAAATCTATGCAAGTATCTAAATACGGGTGACCTTACAATCCCAAAAACCCCCCTCTAAGGTTGGTCACCAACAACAACATATAGTGACTACAATTACTAGTAATGACCGAATGCCCAATAGTCACAACACTGTGTGGAGACAGTTATGCGAGCACGCACACCAGCAATGCATAAACGCAAAATTCGGGAAAAGGGGACGGCATATATAATGGACATTCAAGGTAGAGGATCAGGTGTGGCTATGGAAAACAAAGGTCGAAACGCTTAAGGATAAGCTTGAGCCATGATGCAAGGGTCTGGGGCAGTTGAATCGTCCCATAATGAATGCAATTTGGGAAGCGCGAGGGCTAGACTCTGGCCGCCAAAGGGGAAAATATGGGTTAGACACACTGATATGATTCGGCCATACAAAGATATAGTCTAAAGGGATAAGTTAGTTCAACCAAGTGATTGTTTAGCAGAGGGAAGAGGGTGAGGAAATTATGGAGGGCAGATATGCAAGAATGTGGTGAAATATGGTGTTTTCAATTATGGTGAATGTGGTGGTAAACCATGGCGAGTATGGGGAATGGTGATAGGTTGACTAAGAACATTTTCTTGCACACACTATTTGGTTGACGTGCTTGTCTTGTAACACATCTAATTACTTTGCTTCCCGTGCCTGGGAGCGACCGTGTGTGAATGTGCGGATGTTGGTCAACTCGATATTGATAATGAATTCCCGTCTCATGTCTTCCTTAATAATGATCCATATGGCTTAACACGTTATTCCAGCTCAGCTCTCCGTGGCCCAGCTCACAGGTCCATTCTGGCTTAGTTACACATTAGGGGGTCGTATGTTGGGGTTTGCAGCAAGGGCGGCTATCTCTAGGTGAACTCCTGAACATGAAACAACAAAACAAGACAATTTTTATGCCATTAACTCACTAATTCCAGGCCATGCTAAGCAAATCAAACAAGGTTGTAGCAGATCAGATCAACCAATCAGACAACTAATAATACACAACCTCAAACAGGTCATCTCGGTAGGGGTACTCAGAAAATCGCCACACACACACCCTCCTGAAATTTCCCCAAACGGCGGCCCACACGTGCCCGGTATGCCTCCCCACGTGGCCCGAATAAATTCCCCCGATGCCCAGGCCCCGGCATCGTGAGCTGGGCCCCCCGTGCCCCCGTACGGCGCACAGTACATTAGGTGCACGGGGGCCCAACGCCCAAGACCCCACGGACGTGTGGGGTCGTCGGCCGCGACCTCGTCGCACGGTTAGGCCGCCCGCTCCGCACCTCCTTCGCCTCGGCGCCGTTTGGGCGCGGCTCAAGGCCACTAGGGGCCAAGAGCGTGCGCATCGATTCCTGCCAGCCCGCGCGAGCTCGGCTCATCGCATCTTTTGCCGCGGCGAGGGTCCTGGGCAGCCCGGCGAACGGGCAGGGACCGATCGTTCCCCCCGCCTCGGCGCCTGCGCTGGGATCCTCCGCTGTGCTTGCCGCCGAAGAGGACAGCACAAAGCGGGCCGTGGCTGGTTGCCGAGTGGGACAAGGGAGGGGGAAAGGGGGAGGCGAAGGCAGGGGCGGGGCCCGCGCATCGCTGACCGGGGCGCGGGGGCGGCCAGCGGCGGCCGCCGGAGGGGGAGGGCAGGGCTTGTTGGCCGCGCCAGTCGATGGGCGGCCGCGCGGACATCCGCGAGGAGCTGCGGAAGCTGAAGCTCATTGCGGAGCACACGGAGGTGTGTGGTGATGAGAGTGTGCGTGGGGTGAGGGGGGCGGCGGGGATGGGATTTGGGGGGCGCGGCGGGGCGGATTGATCGCGAAAGAGGTGTAGGGTGTGGGTATGGGTATGTGGGGGGAACATGCAAGGGAGGGAGCTCGTTTTGGGATGTCGTGGTGGGCAGCGATTGAGCTGAGTTTGTTTTCTGACGAAAGGGAGAGGGAAGTGGGTGGGGGTGGGGTTGGGGGGGGGGGGCCGGGCGCTGTGTTGGGTCGCTCTTTAGTGCTGGATGGCGCCAAGGTGCGAGTTTAGAGCCCGGATGTGGGGCGTTGGCCGCAATGAGGCCGTTTGGGGAGGCCCTTTGGGATTGCCGCCGGCCTGGCGGTGCCAGCTTTGCGGGCTGCAGTCGCAGGGGCGGGCGGTTGACTGCCTTCTGCTGGCGCTTGCTGCAGGAGTGGGCGAGCAAGGTGACAAGCTTCCTTGTGGTGACTCAAGGTGGGAAGGGGGTCTTGATGGGCGTCCGGCTGCTACCTGCTCTGTGTGCCCAAGCGCAGACTCAGGAAGGTTGGCTTGTTGTTCCTCGGGTGCTGTTCGACGCTGCTGTCTTGGAACACCAAGTCAGAGAGGCCCGTGGGCACCAGGACGTGTTGTTGCTGGCCCCGGGGCATGCAAGGCGTTGCCTGCAGATGTTTATGTCGCAATACTTGCAAAATCTTCTTCTTCTTCGGAACCTGTTTCCTGATGTGCACAGTCAATGGAATCGTTGCAAAGTTTTGGAGAAAGCGGTGCAGGTCGCAATTCACGTTGTTTAGCCAGTAGACACGGCACTGGAAGTAAGGGGTGTGTGAGATCTGCCAGGCTGCTATGCCTGATCAGCTGTTGTTTGCAACTTTTGCAGACCTGTGCAAGTCTGCGGCACACGTGCTGTGCCACTTGGATGACGACGCTTGGGAAATAGAGACTTTACTGGTGGCGGGTGCAGAGGTGCGCTGCCCTGGATCTGAAGTGTGATACTGTTAGTTATGAGTTGCAAGAGCGGTGGCCATGAGAGTGGGGTCTCACAACATTGTTAGCCAGCCAATTGTTTCCTTTGCTGACACAAGTGTGATACCATGTATACCACGTCCCTTTTCAGCTGATGTGATTGTCTCCAAATGGAGAGGGAGGAGAATGCAACAGGTTTTGTAGGCCTGCTGGAATGCGAACAGTCTGGCTTGGAAGTGCCTATCATCGCCTGCAAGGTTTGTCACAGTGTTGTGACTTGTTGTGGCAAGTGCGCAACAAGGAGACTGGCAAGTCAGCAAGACAGGAGTTGTTGTGCTGCTGTGCAATGCACACTGAGTTTCCTGTGGGCTGGACTGGGGCTGTCATATTCACCGCCATCTTAGCAGTACATGCTTGCATTTTGGTGCAATTGCAGCCTCCTCAGGGAAATGCCAGGGAGAATGCTCACACTGGCAGTTTTCTGTCTTCATGAGCTTGGCGTTGAACTGGCAAGGAAGCGCAGTCTTTCGAGGTCGAAACTGGCAATGTCCCCGAAATGGCAGGCCAGGGGGTGCCACCATCAATAACATCCATTTATGCTGTGTATGGGAACTGCAGCTTGGGCACCTGGCATTGGGGACTGTGCAACTGCAATCACCATTTGCTGTGATGAGTGTGGGACATTCCTGAATCGTTGCATGTTACTCTCAGACATCAGTGTATGGCTGTAGTTTCATTCCCATTTCTCAAAATGTCTTCCTTGTGCATTTTCTGGGGCAGCAAGTGTTCCTTTTGTTGTTGTTTGTTCACAATTTGTTCCTGTATTTCGCAAGACATGGGAAAATTCAGTTGCCTGTCATTCTAATGATAGCAAGGCATCTCTGTTGTGGGAGGATTGGTATCTCTGGACAGGCAGGACATGTGCGTGGATCACAGCGCTCAGTTGTGTCAATGAGACAGGAACAATGAGACACGGCAGAGCTTGATTCTGCTTTTGTGCACTTTGCAAGGAATGTCATTCAATGCCTGCCTGTTGGTGCAGAAGGTGCTGTCATAGTCAGACTGTGGTGCCCTTAATCTGTGACTTATTTTTGGCTCGTGCCTGCAGACGGTTGCTGAAGCAGTCTCACAGGTGGTGGAGCTGGCAAGGACAAGAAGTACCGAAGTGGTACGACAGTTTCAGAGGAAATCCCAAGGCAGGTGCACACAATTATGGAGGCCACTGATGAATTTGCATCAGTGATGACTTTGGGTTGGAGACTTGTGGCACCACCAGCCCATTGTCGGGTGGCATAGTGAGTTCATGATTTTCATCTCATCCCAGTTGGGGTGTCTTTGGCCACTGCTGTTAGTTGTGAAATGGATCGCGCTGGTCCGGCTGGGGGTTGAATTCTGGATCATGGACACACTGGACATCTTCTCATGTCAAATGAAGGCAAGGGCTTCTTGGCAACTCTGTAGTCTGATCGAAAAAAATGTCTGCCTGTAGGTGTGAACCACAAGGAACTGCATACCAAGGTTGAGCAGGCATCGCTGGCTGTTGGGCTTGCCATTTTTGAGACGCTGCAGCTGCAGGTATTGCATTGCACTGACCGATCCCTACCAAGAGCATGTGCAACCCTAGCATTCAACATCTTCAAAGTGCGAGGGTTTGCTGCTGCGGACAGAATGTAACAAAAGGAATACACACAGTAAATGATACACTCAAGTACTTTTGCACCAATTCAACTTCTGCACATGATCACACGATGGCCTTGCACCAAATACGACGACGACAGGCGCACATTTCCACCATAGGAGCTGTCCCCTTCCAGCCAATTGCTCTCGAGCACGGTTTTGTTTCTGGAACTTCTCCTTCAGTGTCTTGCATGCGGAAAGACAGCATAGGCTGTATTGGAGCAACGTTACCAAGCTGATTGTCTACTGTTTGGCATCCTGTTGCTCATCCAGTCATGTTGCTGAATTCCCCAGCCTTTCAGCAGTTAATGCTTCCTGAATTGTATACCCGAATGAGCAAAAAGACCATGGTTTCAGCACGAAGGCAATGCAAAAAGTGTATTCTCCTTCCAGCTTTGATTTTGTTGGCCCTTGTTCACAGGCTGAACAGTTCGGAAAGTTGTCCGAGAAGTCGATCGGTGCGGCAAGGAAGCGGGCCAGCACTCTGGCTGCCAAGCTGCCCTCACTTCCCAGGAGTGAGAGTGGGATGCCCCACGTGCTGATGTCAAATGGGAAGGGAGGGAAGGTGTGGGATGACGGGCAGTCAGAGGCCACCGGAACTGGAACGGACGATGTGGAGCTGGACTGGGATGCCTTTGACAATGACCTGAAGGTAGGCACCAGTGAAGATATGGTCAACAGCGTCCAGCAGTCCAGAAGGGCAGAATGTTGGAATTGGGTTTGCATCCCCCGGTGCTGACATTATAGCCAATTAGTGTGGGTGTTCAGCACCCGGTCGCAGATATCTTTCGTCCTGTTCCCTGTCGTGTTGGCCATCACCATTGCAGTTACGAACAGTTTCTGGAGGTCAGGGGACACCCTGCTGTCTAGTGCAGAAATGTCCATCATTATCGTCAAGCCAGCTCTGGTTTAGAACACTGTTTTTATCCTAATTGTTGCTATGTGCATATTTGATACTGCCTATTTCCCCTGCATGAATGTCCGTGCTACACGTCTGTGGATCAGTGTAGCTCTGGCTGTTGCTTTGCCACATGCAACTCCTCAAGAGAGGACAGGCACCGCTGTTGCTGCAAGCAAAGTGTGGAACTGAACAGCAATTTCTTAGAACGTGTAGCACTGCTATCAGGTTCACAGCCTCTTTCTGCAGTCTGCCCTCAACATATCTTCATTTTAGCAGTACACATGCACGTGTGTGCGCCAAAGCACAGGTGCCATGATGTTCATTGTTCCACCATCACACAAGCGGAACATTGGCTTAGGTGTATGTGTGCTAGCGTGCTGTTGACTGTCATGTCTGTCCCCTACACTCCATCGTGTGTTCGTTTGCAACTCAAAGAGTGGTTCCAGTGTACCCCTAAAAGCAAAGCTCCTGGGTGAACTTCTTATGCCACATCCATACTGAAGGCAGCTTTGTGGACATGCCCAGTGTTGATATCATCGCTGTTGTTGTTGCAATTGTTGTGCTCTAGTCAGTATTGCTACGGCCACTATCACTATTGCTTGTTTAGGCAAGAGCACCTGCATATTATGCAGAGACTGCTTATGGGCTTCCGCTGATCAGAATCTGATCCAACAAATATCCACGTATCAGATAGGAAACAAATACCCTGCCAGGCGAAGTTGTGTTGCCGGCTCAATATTGTAGACAGCACCAGCCCTGATCAGTATCGCCCCAGGCAAACCATATCTCTGTCTGTATCAGGCGATGACGGATGCTGTGGGCATGGGCATGGCCACCCCTGAGGAGGCCTTCCGCAGCGCCAAGTGCTTGGACAACCAGCCAAGCCCTGAGGCCATGTACCCCTCCCCCAGCCCCGAGGCCTGTGGCTCGCCTCATGCTGCCAGCGCAGAGTTCAAGGCCCTGCAGCTGCGCATCGACGAGCTGGACGTGGAGAAGAGCAGTGCATCGTTTCGGGCTTCTCAGGCGGAGCAGCGCGCCGAGGATGCGGTTCGAAAGGCAGTTGAGGTGCAAGCGGTGGCGGACAAGGCGCTGGAGCGGGCACAGCGGGCAGAGGAGGCTCTCTGTCGGTTGCAAAGGTGTGGGTGGGCCCACTGCTGATAGAGTGTTGTGGCAGTGGTGTAGATGTTTGTCCCTTTGGAGGATCAGTGGTCGATCTGGATCAAGGTTGTGATGCCAAACGCTCTGCAATTCCTATGTCATGTGCTTGATATGCAGGGTCGAAGAGTTGGAATGCAGCATTGGGTGGTCAATCGACCTGTACTGATCGTCATGTGCAACACAGCTTGATGGATAAAGATATGCTCTTCTACCTTATTGGGTTTGAGCACCAGCACCATGCCATGCCTGTCAAGTAGAAAAACAGCAAACGGCTGTGCTATGGTTGTGTGGCCGATCACCAGCTGTCAATTGGCTGGTTGAGGGCACAGTAGCTGGCGCGCAGAACACTGTGGAAAATGGAAATGTTGACTTGCAGCTTAGTCCAGTTATTTATGCCATTTTCCCATTGCAGGAACAGGATTTGCTGCCAGGTCAAGGGTTTTCATAGGTACTGGACCTTGCACGTGTCACTATCTGCCCAAACATGCCTCTGAAGCTTTCGTGAATGTCTGTCTGACATGATTTGCAACTGTTGCCCGTTCATCTTGGTTGCAGAATGGACCTCACTGGAAGCTTGTGTGTCTATGGTTGTTTCTGTTGTTTGCATCGACCTTGCAGCACAGTTGTGCTGGCACAGAGCCCTCTGTTGTACCATCTAGTGTTTCATTTCCCTTCCAATTTTCTATCATCGTTACCCCACTACAGCCAGTCATTGCTTTGCAATCAGTTTGTACCGTACGTGCCCCGACTGTTGATCAGTTTGTCCAGCCGCCATCGCTTGCCTTGATGAATTGTGTTGCAAGTTGTGGGACTCGAACTGGACTGAAGCAGTCTCATTGCTAAAGTGGGCCTTATTGTGTGAAAGTTAGTACCTTGCAGCAACTTACCAACAGGCACAGGCTGAGAAGAAGGCTGTGTGAGTCGTGCATCTCAATATACCGGCGAGTTCTTGCACTCAACGGTCTGCCCAAACAATGGTGAAACGTGCACACCCCTACCCGCATCCTGAAATGTCAAGAAAGCACCATTACACAACATGTTGTGGCATGCTATTTCTGCAACAGGCACACGCATGTTTGTTCAAGCTGCTGTGCACGATGGCCCATCATGACAATCGCACTGATGGTTCAAAGCTTGTTGATTTGGAGAAGCGGTGTCCTGTGTTGCCACCCCCGTGCTGCTTTTAGTTACTTGTGATTTGCCATCATAGCATCACGGTGTCAGGATCGATGGTGCACCAGGAAGCGCACGGCCATTCCATTCTGTCACTTGAGAGATCATCAGGGAAATTGCCCAGCAATGGGTCCCCACTGCCAGCACTGCCGCGGCGACCCCCTACACCACCTTCCTGAGGCAGGGCCGGTGAAAATCCAAGGGCCCCGCTTTGCCTTTCAACAAACGTGCAGCATCAAACAAACGGTATCGACAAACATGCAGAAACATGCAAAGCCGAGCCAAACAAAGGATATTGATGAACATGGGAAAGCCATATAAAGCATATAAAGCAGTGTCAAGCAAATGATATCGATAAACTTGGAAACACATAAAGCTGCGTCAACAAAGGATTTCAGGGTTCCTGGGGTTCCACAGGGAGCGCGAGGAGTGGGAGAACCTGCACCCTCGCCACACGGACGATGACTACAACGAGGTCCGCCGCGCCCTCAAGGAGGAGCAGATGGCGCGCCTGTGCGCGGAGGAGTCCCTGCGGGCCGCGGAGGCCGAGGCGCGGCGCTTCCGCGAGGAGGCGCGCGCTGCGCACGAGGCCCACGCCATGACCCAGTCCATGGCGCGCATGGCGGACGAGCAGCTCAGCGCGCGGCACAGCTGCCCGGACATCGGCGACGAAATCGATCATGGTCGCGGCGGGCTGGAATCCACGGCCAGGGATGTCGGATCCCGGAGCGGATGGGTTAGGGATCGCCGCGGGTCGATCGCCGATGGGGATGAGGGGAACGCTGGCGGTCGACCTGCAAGGGGGGCGAGGCGGGGGTCGAAGGATGGGGGGTGGGGATGGGGGGCCCGGGGGACCGGCAAGCGGGCGTCGTCTGATGGCAAGTCGGGGCCAGCGGAGGAACCCGGCACAGTCCCGGCGCGAGGGGGGATGGGGCTGGTGGGGAGGATGTGGGGCGGGCGGGCGGCGAATGCTGATGCAGTGAAGGCACAGGGAGCAGGCGGAGGTGGGCCGAAGGGCGAGGAGGGGAGGAGGGAGGGCGGTGGCGATGCGCCGAGGCCAGGTGATGGCGGTGCGTCGAGGCCGGGTGATGGGGAAGGGTATGTGAATCCGTTTGAGGGCGGGAGGGCGATGGGGTCGGGTGCGGGAGATGGATACAGGAACCCGTTTGAGCCCAGCGGCGGCGCCCATGGGGGAAAGGCTTCGGAGTCAGAGACTGCTGGCAGGGGGAAGAATCAATACGAGGCTGGGACTGCTGGCAGCCAGGGGGAAAGGCCATCTGAGGTGGAGGCTGCTGGTGCAGGGAAGAATCCGTTCGAGGGAGGTGGTCCGGAGCCTGCTGGGGATGGGTATGAGAACCCGTTCGAAGCTGCCCCGTCGGGGCCAGCCCAGGGGGGGGGCGGGTCCCCAGGCCCCAATCCGTTCCTGGCGCCCAAGGGTGGGTCGATGAAGGTGGCCCGAGATGCTCCAGTGCCGGAAGGAGAGAAGGATGGGTGGAACCCGTTCGATGGGGGCGCACCAGCGGGCGGCACAAATCCGTTTGGAGAGGAGCCGGTGGGGGCAGCGGCGGGCAGCAGCCAGGCATGGAACCCCTTTGGGTAGCTGAATTTGCTTTGATGAGTTTTCTGTTCGACAGAGCTGCCCCTTAAGGTGCACACATGTTGTGTGTGCGCCTTGTGTGCCTGATCGACGGCATCGCCTGTGCGCATGGGCGGTTTGGGTGTGGTGTCTGGCTTCATCGGGGGTGCAGGCAGAGGCTTGATGAGCGCCACACCTGGCTGGATGCCATTGACAGCCTTGGATGGAAATGCAGGCTGGCACCTGGGGGCTGCGCGAATTTGTGTGTGTTGGGGCGGGGTAGATTCTGCTTTTGGGGGTTTGGCGCTCCTGGAACAGCGGAAGGGGCTTGGTGCCTGTGGGCTGACCGATCAGATTGCAGCCATATAGGGATGGGGGGTTCTGGCTAGGGGAGGCTACCTGTGCACCGATTGGCAATTTGTTTATAGGCTTGGGCTATTTGGGGAATAGGGGCGACTAGACGGAACGAGGCGAAGTAGAGGTGCTTGGAATAAGGACAGGGGACTTTGGTGAGTTGGGATTCGTGCTGCGCTCTGGGCCCACGGTGCTTGCCACTTCCTTTGGGCCCAGTCGCCTGCCTGTGGCAACGGAGGGGGTCCATTGGAAACGATCGCGGCTCCCTGAGGGTGGACCCCCTGTCCTTGACAGGAAGCATGTTGTTGCAAGCATTGGACGTAGCCGACAGCAGCGGTCATGTGTAGTCATTTGGCTGGCTTCTCAAGATGGGGAGCTGCCCGTTCGCCTGGATCCAGGCCTCCGGAGGCGATGCACCGCCGTTGGCGCCAAAGTTTAGATGCGAATTACAGATCGAACTGTGTGTCCAACTGTTGGCACACCACTGCCCAAAATCACAAGCACAAGACTCTATTGGAGTATGCGAAGCGGGTCAGCGATGATTGACCCGAGGAGCTCCTACCAGCGCTCGTTCTAGTGAAATGAATGCAATAGTTGAGCGACTATTACGAACAGCAGTGCTGGTAGAAATAGTAAAATCTGAATTGTAATTGCGGACAGCGGAGGTATCAGAACTATTGCCTTGTACTTCATACATCCACTTCTCGCGCGGGGGCGTTTCTAATCTGAGATGTGGACTGCACCTCAAAAAGCAAGACAGCAGGTTGAACATGTGGCTATTGGCATTTCAAAAACTGTTCGAATAAATGCTCACACTATGGTGTACACCGTGTAGCATGCACCGTGTAGCATTCGAACGCCAGTGTGGAGTTGGAGTGGCACAGTCTCTTGCGCCTGAAGTGCGATGTCGAGCACGAGCCAGGCCACAGAATAGCAGAAACGTGATATCCGCAATCGGCAACGTCAACAAGTACATCTGTGTGTCACCATCATCATCATCATTTTCACATTGCAAGGCAATGAGGTAGTCGTCAGCTTCCTATTTTGCCCAAGAAAAGCGGTGTTTATGATCAGTTCGTGAAAATCTAATGTATAACACAAACAAAGGTCTGGGAATCTGTGAAGGAGTCTATGAAGTCCTCTTGCAGAGTGACTTAAACACCGTTCAAATGATCTGTTGCGTAGTTTCTGTCACACTCGTTTTGCAGTGTTCCTGGCAATACAAAATAATAATTTCAATCTGCACAAGGACACAGGCTGGCTGTTTCTGCGCTAATCATCGCCTGCACGCTGCGCGTGTGTTGCTCGTAATACCCTAAAGGATATTACGTGAATTTGCTCAAAGTCTTTCACAGCCACAATTCATGGAATTTGAACTGCGGTGTGTTGGTCCTTTCATTTCGAATTTGGCCCACCGGGATTTGGGGGTGTCCAGCCGGCTGTTGCTGCCCATGCAGTGTTGCTCTTCAGTGCAGCTGCAAGCTTCGATTGGATCACCATCATGGCGATCATTGTCTTTCGTGTATGGGACATCACATATGACGGGGGCATGAATGCATCAGATATTACACAATTTTCTCCCTGTAATCAGGCTTCATTGTGACGCCCGCAAACTTGTGTTCATGACCTAAAGTCCGGTCAGGTTACCAAGCATTCACATAGATCTTCCGAATTCCTTTGCACTGCGCTTAGATTTTGTTCAATTTTGTTGATTAACGCGAGGAATGAGTGCTATTGCCACATTGAAGTTCGAATTCAGGCATGCGTATTTAAATGTATACAGGCGATGCCTTGAATTTCAATTACTTCTCAACAATGTGGGATCTCGGCCGAACGGCAGTCGGCCGGCCACATTCCCTGGTCGTCCGCGTTGATTTGACTCGTTATGCCAGGTTGTACATGGAAGCCCACAGAGCATCTGCACGACAGAAACGACTTGCGCGCCAGTCTGAACATCGCCAGTGACGGCAGCTGTGCCCAAAATTGGCCCAGCACAAGCGGAGCTGCATGGGCGCATGACACCGGCTTCTTGGGGAGGCGGCGCGTGAGGGAGGGGAGACAAGTTCTGGAAGGCTAGTTTCCGAACGTAATTTCCGGAAGACAAGCTTCCGGAAGACAGTCTCGGAGGACACAATTGGGAAGGCGACTTCTATTGCTCGCCTGGAGAGGAGGACGGACCACCTGGGAGACAGGCGCTTGCGCCTGCGCAGGCCCGCGCGGGCCTCCCTTCAAATATTCAAACCCTTGAGCGCTTAGCACCCAAGGGTTAACGGGGGCGCTGGACATGGATGACTTGCAGTCCAGTGAGGAGGTGGGAACTGCTCTTGCGGAGTTTCGAACTTCTGAGCGGTGCACGGCGCACAAATGTGCAGTTGTGGTATACGAATACAGTCAACAATATACAGTTTGAAACCGCTCAAGGAATTGCGATTGATCACGAGTTGGCTGGCGCTAATATTCTCGGACCTTTGTGCGCATCTGCTTTGGTTTCCATCTGCCCAGTAGTCAAGCGCACAGCACCGCACCCCTGAAAGTTCAGTGGTAACCGTTGGGCGGCAGGGAATGGTCTGGCGATGGAATAGCTGACACTAAGACAGAGTTCTGTATCGTGGGAAGTACGGAAGGGCTCGTGCGCATGCTTGCAGCAAATGCACTGAATTAACAGCGACGTACAGTGGCTTGAAGAGAATAAGGCCAATGTCTGTTGCTTAAGGCCTATTTCTTGTTTGACTGAGAAGACATTGGAACCATGCGAGTGCTTTTTGTGAATACAACAGTGGAGCAACATCTTAGATGCGCCTAAGGCCCCAGAAAGGTTTAGGGAAAGCATTGGTGGGCCATCGAATCCTCAATTTGGTGTTGTTGTGCTCTTCGTGCTTCCATCCCACATTTTGTTCAGCTTTTCTCAACACAGGCAATATCTCTCTTGAAGTGTGAACGTTCGGTAAATTGGCGACCGTTGCACTGACATCAATATCAACATATTGATAATTACCTCTATTACAGTCCGCCGCACGAGCATTGCTCGCTGAACGATGCCTCAAACGCGGCTGCACACTTTCAGGCGGCTTTCGTTGCGGATGACGTCAGCAACATCATTAAGGAATCCATCGACACTGTGCTCCTCAATCAGCAATACCGCCATGCCAAGGTGAGGTGTCCGCAGCACCGGCGTTGGGGAAAGTGGGAGCCATCAAATAGAGATTATTTAGTACAGTGGGGTGGCCTCTTTCAGGCTGCCCCGTGACAAGCCCATTTCAGCGGCCTTATTGACCGTTGGCCTTATTGATTTCCGCAGCCCATTCAAAGTTATAGAAGCCATTTACGGCACATTCAACATCATATAGTGCACAGATTGATTATTTTTAAGGGTATTCTGATATCAAAATATTGTTAGTACTTTATGCGTTGCCCAATAAGAAGCGTAGTACTTTGCTTGGTAGCACTGATTGTCAATAGGCAATCGCCCAATCGAAGGAGGGTGGTTTTGGTCACTGGGTGACCGGTGCTATGGGGCTGCGAACGCTCCTGCGCCCACGTTAACGCAGCGCTAAATGCCCGAGTGCCCGGCGTACGAGGTGCCCGAGGCTCCCTGAGCTGCGAACGCCCCGAACGGCACAAAGTCTTGCCGCCCAGGGGCAGAAATGGCCCGGCAAGCTTGAGCATTCACATCCCGACTTTCTGGCTGTCGCGGACGCGGGACCCAACCTTACAGCATGGCTGTAGAAGCCTGCGGTGTGGGGAAGCGGCGTGGCGAAATTGAGAATTAACTCGCTTGTTCGCAGATCCAAAACCAGGGCGGCATTTTCACGTGCCCCGGCCCCCAACACCCGCATTGCTTCGAGAGCCATTGGCATTGTCCTTGCCCACTTGTTTTCCAATCTTCAAGTCACTCTAAAACAAGATTTGACCTTGGTCAACGACCATAGCACCGAACGGCGGCAGCAACTCGCCCATGCTCTGCCCCTTGCCGACAATGGATCGAGGTTACGCAACAACCCGATCGTAGCAAAGGCTGCGCACACGATCCGTTTTTGAATCGCCATCGGGATCGACTTCTCCACAGATCCCATGGAGGTACCCATCACACCCAGAGCACTTGTGCATAGTGTAGCGAGGCGGTTGGGGAATGTCGTGGGGTAGTCTGCACTTCTTGCCTTCGAGGCAAGGCATGGCGGCGCCCCCCCCCACCCCGCACCCCACCCCACCCCACCCCACCCCACCCCACCCCCCCCCCACCCCCACCCCCACCCCACCCCACCCCACCCCAACCCACCCACCCCCCGCCGCTCAAACTGCATGTGGCCATGTCTTTCTATTACTTTAGGTCGTACCACCAGATATGGCCGATTTTGACCGGCCTTATTGAACGTTTGGCCTTATTCAGGGCGACCTTAGAGGCCAGCCCATTGTACCACGCAGTCCTCCCGCGATTTGGCGTGCTGCCACCACGAGTCCGGCTGCGTTCCCAGTCTACTACTTAATGAGATATTGGAAGTGTAGAACAAAATTCGAGACGCTGTTGCCATTAAGATGGAGCAAAATGGGTGCCATTTGAACCAACACTTGTTCCCACCTGTATATTCGACTGCTCGATACATTGCTCCATGAATGCATCCGGAGTCCCTTAGATGGAACGATCAGATAACTTACACCCACAAGACGACAAGCAAATTGAGTTATCGTGCGTTCATTCCAAGGCCACATCTCTCTCCTTGCCGCCATCATTGACGCGCACCCGAAGACACACAATTGTCTCCCAATGGCAGCCCGCCGAGGGACACACCAGACCCATCGCCCAGAACCTAAGCACCACCCGATATCCTCCCGTTCACAGCTCACATAAGCTTCTCGAAACTTCCATGCCTGTCCGCAACATCGGCGCCTGCCACCTTCGCCCCGAACAGCACCCCCTGCACCCTCAGTTCGTCCAGGAACGGCGCCCTGGGCCTGGCAACCGCGACCGCCCTCATCCACCGTCGCTCCTCATTGGTCCCCCCTTCCAAGAAGGCGCCCACCACCACGCCGTCATCCACCCAGTACATCCCGAACATCCCCCCCTCCCACTGCCCGAAGGCCACCCCTCGACCCGCCTTCACCCCGTGGAACTGCCACGACAGGCCGAAAAACCGGGAGTGGTAAAACGGCACGTAGTCGTAGTCGGCCGTGTTTTCGGGATCCAGGATGGCCGAAACGGCGTGGGCGGCGGACAGGCGAGCGTGGGTCGCGTGCTCCTGCCGGCAGTAGTGGCCCCCGTAGCGCAGCAGGGGGAAGGACGCAACGTCGCCTATGGCGTAGACGTCTGGGTGGCTGGAGCGGAAACTGCCGTCCACCTCGATGCCGCCGTTGATCAGCTCCAGCTGGCCCAGGAACAGCTCTACGTTGGGCCGGGAGCCTGCCCACGGCAGCAAAGAGTGCGCGTGATTGGTGCACCACGTTAGTAATCAGTCAATTGAGTGATCGTTGTTGTGGCAACGGATGGGGGCCCCGTCTCTCATAGTTTTCTCGCAGAAACACGCCTTTGTATGCATACGATGTTTTGTATCCATGCATGCATACGCAGTTTGTGCGGTTTGTCATTCGAGGGCAGCAAACAATGTTACCTGGTGATTCACGGCAATGAGTACCGCTCCTTCCAATTGTACAGGTTTTGCTTCAGCACCTCTCTTGCGGCAAGCGCAGAGCGGCTGCGAGCAGCAACAGAACCGTGCAATCGGAGTCACATATGCGTGCACGTGTGGGCGTCGGTGCGTCTCTGCTGGAAGTGATCAATCCCTTTCGCCCAACTAGGCTTGTTTATTGCGCCATAAACACAGATCGTATTCACGTTCTTGCGCCTAATAATAGTTTTGACGTTTTGACGCCTAGAAGCGCGTAAAAATGCGTAACTACAGCCTCTTGTGCACAAGGACAGTACATGCCGACAATACATCCCAGACGTCCTGAGATAGGTACAAAACGAAGTTTTGTTCCATGCCGTCGCTGCTTTTGTCAAGGGCGAGGTGGACGCTGTGTTGCGGGCGTTTGAGGGGGCGGAAGATTGACCATTGTGCACGAATTTCATCGTGTACCCTTGGTGTCACAGCGAGCCGTAGAAACGTGAATGCAGCTGCAAAAAATAGCCCTTTTGCAAATTTACATTTTTGCACGTAAAAATGTAAACGCGGAAATGTAAACATGAGTAACTAGCCTGCCCCAAACAAGATAAGAACGGCTCACCTCACGATCTTTCTGTTCACGCCGCTAAATATCTCGTGCTTATTGCTCGAGGGATTACAGAGCAAACTACAGTAATTTGCTGAAATGGAGTAACTCTATTTCAGCCACTTTTGACAGAGTCAAGCACCCCATCACACAGGCATCCTGCTTGTCATTTATTTAAATATCAAACAACATCAATGGGGCATCTTCGCTGTGACGTGCCCTCACCAATGCCGACCACGACCATGGAAGCCTGCAACGTCTTGTCGTCGTTCAGCTCCACGGACTCCACATGGCCGTGGCTGCCGCTCAACTGCGTCACCCTGCTATCCCAGCACAACTCCACGCCCTGAGCGGCAAAGTATTCCTCGTAATGGCTCGCCGCATCGTGAGGTAGCATGCGGTCCATCAACATGCCCCCCGGGAAGGCCATGGTCACGTGCAAGTCATGCTCCTTCAGCGCCGCCCCAACCTCCATGCCCACATACCCCGCCCCTACCACCAGTGCCCTGTCATCCCAGAGCAATCACAAGACCAATCCGCAGATCAAAAGTGCTTTAATCAACATGCAACACATGTCAGGGTGTGGCGGTGATGCATTTGGCGATCTAACGCCAGTTCTGTGCTTCATTGCTTCGGTGTCAACAGCTTGTTCGATGAAGTCCGAAAGGTCTGAAGCAGTGGCACCAAGGGTCCACTGACTCCTAGCTTTCGTAATGGATAGTCGACTCTGCTGCACCTGATGGATCGCCTTTCCAGATGCCCAATCCGGATGAGGCAGACATCGTCGCGAAAGGCACGATGTGCTTCATCTGGGGCAGAAATTCGGTTGGACCATTGCATGGATTTATCGCTCCCAACTTTCTCCAGAATGTTTAACTGCCGTGTCCCGCTCTGGCAAAGTTAATCGAATAACGCGTCCAACCACATCGCAGTAGCGCGAATCAACTCAGTGGAGGTCATTTTTTTCTCCTGAAACTACCGTTGGCTTTAAACCCATCCGCATGGTAACGTAACGTTTGGCCTTTCTTTGAGGCGGAAACAATAGAATAAACAACGCTCTTTTAAAAAAAGACTGCTAACAGTGCAAAATTAACAAAATTAAAGCTCTGAAAACAAATGCGGAGCACAAAGCGTAACGGCAAAGTTTTCTGATGCGGAAGGGTTCAGAAACCCACGGTACATGGTGTCGCACACAACGGTGCGCCTCGAGTCCCCGAAACCAAAACGAAATACCGACGGACAGCCACCGCCTTGAGCGTGCCGTCGCCCAGAGGACCTTGCCTGCCGTCCCGCCGCTTGCACTCCTCGATTCCCTCCAGTATGCCCTCCGCGTCCTCCACGCTCCTTATGTAGTGTATGCCCCCCAGTTCCGCCCCCGGCGTGTTCTGCTCCGCCAGCAACGCCGCCCTGGACCCCGTCGCCACTAGCAGCTTCCCGTACGTCACCTCCTCGCCTCCCTCCAACGTAAGCTTCCTACCAGCCACGTCCACCCCGACCGCCGCGACGCCCCTAAAGTACTGGACGCCCCTTTCCTCATACCAGGCCGCGTCCTGCGCCTCCCAGCCCACCCGCACGCACGTGCAAAAGTCCTCAAGGCGTCGTTGGCCCCCAGGCCTGAGGAACTCCTTGCTAAGTGCGGGCCTCTCGTAAGCCACCGCGTTTTCTGACGTTATTATGCAGAGTTCCCCGGGTCCCAGGCCTCGTCGGACAAACTCCCGCGCGGCGTAACCGGAAGCCACGCCGCCTCCCAAAAGGACGTACGTAAACGACTTCATCCAGGGAGGCGAGCACACAGCGCGCAGTCGAGGGGCGCTGATTGATGCCGGGGTGTCCTCTGACCCTCGGGTCGGGGTGGAGCGCCGGAAAGAGGGGAGGGGAAGGGGCCTTCATCTTCGGTTGCCCACTCGGCGGGCTTGCGCATTCGAGGCACTGCGCCGCTGGATGTGGCTCAAGTCCCTTGATTACCGCAGTATACCCAACTTTCCGCATAGCAACGTAACGTTTGCCTCTTTTTGCGGAGAAAAAGTAACAAATAATGAATTTGTAACAAAATTTGCGCAGAGCACCGGAAAATAGTAAAATAACGCCCTCAAAGAAAATGCGGGTGAGGTTAAAATTTCCCGACGCGGAAAGGTTAAATATTTTACGGCACATTTGTCAAAGAACAAAACCGCAATAAAACACCGCCCCAGCACCACCGCATGCTGCGCCATCATTCGCTTTGCATAGCAAGGGTAGGTAGGCGGACGTCGGCTGCTCGCTCTGCCCGAACAAAGCAGCGGCCACCATCAGTTCTTTGAACTCTGATGCACAACGCAGAAATGGTCCAGGGAGCCATCAATTCCCCACACTCTGCGTCGTTCGGACTCGGTGCTGCGAACCGATCAGATGCAAATAATCTGAGTAGCCGATTGTCTGAGAATTTAATTTCAGATATGTGATTGGGATCGCCTGAAATTAAATTCAATTTCGATGAAGCGCCGTGGGTGCGCCAAAGCAACGGCAGTGTCAGCATTGATGCCGCAACGAGAAATGTTGCGGCAGCGCCCGTGTGGAAAATGGTAACACTCAATGGGGAAGCCTTTGGTGCATAGATGCTGGCGCGTGGGACCTTCTGCACATCTATTTGGCGTTGCGTCGACGCTGAATGCAACAACAAGTTCGAGGTCAGCCTGTGCAGCTGCTGCCTTGCGGAAATTGGGGTGGGCTTCACTAGGAAAAAAAGGGCCAAATAACACTTTTGCGAACACACATAAAACACATTTCATCAACGTTCTGCACGCTAAGAACACAAAAATGACGCAAACCCGTTAACTTTGTACACGTTTGAGCACGTGTTATTTGGTCCTTTTTTTCCTAGTGCTTGATCCGAATCAAACCGCTGCAAGAATTCCGACAGGAGGCTCCCGTCAGACGCATCACTGCCGAAGTGCTGGTTGCATATCGAAATTAAAGACAAAATGGGGTAAAGCAATACACTTCTTGAAAAGTTTTCCCCTGGGTCTCAACATTTATGGAGCAATATATGCCTCACCTTTGCACATGGAATTTGTGTCCTGAAGTTTCAAGTTCGGAGCCAGTCAAACTATACATAATACTTTTCGTAATGCGTATGCTGCATTAATGAAATTCACCTTGTAAAGAGCAGCGATAAGGTGAGCAGAGGGCGACAGTGGCAGCGGTGATTCTGGTAACATGTGCTTCGAATGCAAGTAGTTGCGAAAGTGGCTTGGATGATTAGCGCAGCATGAGACAGGCACGACTGCAGCTCAGACCACCAGCTTTTTTTCTGGATGCAGCTTGGACAGTGGACCTCAAACATTCTGGAGCATTCCATCAAGAAGCTGGCGGGCCTGAACAAACCTTTCAAATACATTGTGACTTGCATCATCATGCAGAAAAATGGTGGGTTCCTGTCGTGCAGACCTATCAACAGAAACAGTGCCTCAGTAAAGCTTCTTTCGTCTGCATGCATATTGCGCCGTTTTGGTATTAAACTATAACGATATGTCATCTGAATGAACCAAAGACATCCAGCGGTACTGATTTATCCACGCGAGTGCGGCATATGGATTGACGAGGGTAAACCTGCAAGTACGGCGCATGGGTGACACGATAAACATGTCATCGGATACAGTCCCGGGCTTGGGGAATGTTAAGGAAATTGCATCAAGATGACAACAATTTTATCGCAGAACTTTGCTTTGGCATTCTTCCCAGAAACATGCCTTCTCCCCTTTAAAATGTCTGCAACAATTTGGCAGCACGCTACACCCTCGTTGTAGACACATGTCTCAGAGCCGCGCACATAGCTGTCCCTGAAATCAGACAGACCTTCCGTGGCATTGGGCACTATGGAAGTTTTCTGCCTTCAGCAATTTACACAGCTCAGCTCGTGCGCGACCGCACAATGATACGTGTGTTTTCCCAACCGCAAGCGTTTTCGTCATTGGCTCTTGCCATGGGAAGATGTGGTACTAATGTAGGTATTTGCCTTCGGCGTAATGCTGATCTGTTTGCACATCATTGTGCGACGTTCCATGTGACTGTCGCTGCCACTGTGCTAAGTCGCACATGAATTTTAACCCGGAAAATTTCCTGGCGCCGTGGTCATAATAAATCTAATCGAGTTGTCCCATGGTGCAGGCGCCGGACTCCACACCGCGGCCTCATGTTACTGGGACAATTCCACGGACGGCAGTCGCACAGTACGATGGGAAAACAAGACCCTTTACTGCATATGCACGGTTTTCGGTGTCGCGTGTTGAACCTTCGTTTCGCCGATTGAAGAGCACGCCAAGCCAGCCGCTCAATCTGGGTCCATTGGGCTTCAAAAGCCTCGGGAGCCCCCATATGCATTGACGGAAAAGCAAGGGGCTGGATAGACAGGAGTGATTACTCAGCTTTGAAAATGCGCCGAACACAATGGTGGCTTAGACTTTTTCTTTTATGTCCAGTTCGTTGTGGGTTTCGGATCCATGCAAAGTTTTGTGGAGATGCACAGCAATCAAAATTGTGTTGCTGAAGACACGCGGATGCCCACCAAAGAGGACACCAAGAAAATGAAATCTCGGGTAACGGACATCTCAGACAGAAGGGCCCCTGCTGCTCACGGAAAGTCGACGAAAACGGAGAAGTCCTTCCGCACGCCCGTCTATTGCTACTTTCATTGGATTTGTTCTCCACATGTTCCAAACCCCAGCACGACAGACCACTGCAGCACAGCAGCTCTACTGGAAACCGGATGAAGAGGCTCGAACCTTAGGTCTGTGGCCGTGACCGAGGGCGCCTCTTTTCTCACCGACCCAAGAAACACCTTCTGGCCCTAGGGTACACTAAATTATGGCCCCGGCTGGCCATCAGTTGGCGGAAGCAGCGTTTTGGAACGCAGCCAACGGAGCACCACGGCACATCCGCACGGCTTGCACCGCATCGGTGGTCCCTGCCCATGACGCTGCGCACAACGTTCCTCTCATCCTCGGCGTTCTTCTACACAAGAGGCGCCGTTCGCAACCTCACGACGCCTCCGAGGGCTTCGTCGCCAACTCCTGCGCGTACTTCAGGCCCTTGATCACCAGGTCGTCGGCATGGGGCGCCACGGGCCGCTGCAGCGCCACCGCCTTCATCCACCCGAACTCCTCCGCGCTCCCCCCCTCCAGGAACGCCCCCACGATCCGCCCTTCCTCCACAAAGTACAGCCCGAACTTCTCCATGTCCTGGTCGCCGAACATGATGCCCCTGCCCCGGTTGAGGCCGAAGAACTGCCAAGAGAGGGAGAAGAAGCGGGAGTAGTAGAAGGGCAGGTAGTCGTAGTCGCCGGTGTTCTCCGGGTCCATTATGGCCGCCACGGCGTGGATGGCGGAGGCGCGAGCATTGGTGACGTGCTCCTGCCGCTGGATGTAGCCGCCATAGCGCAGGAGGGGGAAGGCGGCGACGTCGCCCACGGCATAGACGTCGGGGTGGCTTGTCCGGAACTTGCCGTTCACCTCGATGCCGCCCTGGCTCATATCCAGCTGGCCGACGAACAGCTCCTTGTTGATGCGGGCCCCTGGCACGGAGCACCGCAGCTGGAGCCATGGCAATTGGGCAATTTGCTGCTACAGGGCAGGCTTGCGAGTTGCGGCTTGTTTCCACCTAAGTATGTCAGAGCACTTGCGCGTGATATTGGAAGTTATTTATACACGTATGTTTCGATGAATAAACTTGGCCTCCTGAGCAGTACATTCAATGCATTTAATTCATTCAGCAATTTTCAGTGCGGTGTTCTGAGAACTGTTTCTTGATATCTGCCCTTGCTTAAGCCAAGGGTCAAATTGGCAATTTGTTTCTCGTGCCAAACTGGTAATTTTTGCTGCAAATTTTCTTTACCAAAAGCTGCAACAATAGCAGCTGGCGGTTTTAGATTTGCTCCCTAAAGGCGAGCCCAAACTGCCGTTCCGTTCAGATCGGCCTCAGCCGTCAATGGAGCGCTTGCTGCGCATGCTATGGGGCGTTGCTGCCTTGAAATTCTGTCTGGTGAGGTCGCGGGAATGTTGTGGCTACCCCTTTCCTTATTACATAATGACCGACGAGGTGTTTTACTGATTGACTGATTGCACACAATCTACTCCTGCAGACCCTATTCCCGAAACCGACGAGCCCAGCGGCCGGGCAGTTGGACGCATTGGCAGCAAGTGGCACCGGTAGGGCACCCAGACCCTCCCCTCCCCGCGCCACCCACCTCCCCACACTTGCTTGCAGAGGTGTTACCTTTCCTATGACCTGTATCTCTTTCTCTTGTAACAAATCTTGCACAGCCCAGCCCTCATGAGGGCTGATCACCCCCACCCACCTATCCCCGCCAGCACCATGGACGCCTCCACCACCCTCCCGTCGTCCAGCTCCACTCCCTCCAGCAAGCCGTCGCTGCCCAGCAGCCGCGTCACCCGCTGCCCCCAGCACATCTCGATCCCCTTCCTCTCGTAGTAGTTCTCGTAGAAGCACGCCGCCTCGGGCGGCAGCATCCGGTCCATCAGCATCCCGCCAGGGAACACCATCGTAGTGTGCAGCCCGTTGGCGCACAGACCCGCGGCAACCTCGATCGCGATGTATCCCGCCCCGATAACCAGCGCGTTGCCGTCCCGCGCCTTGCACTCAGCGATGCCCGCCTGGATCTCCACCGCATCTTTTATGTCCCTCAGGTAGTACACGCCCTTCAGGTCCCAGCCTGGTATCCCGACCTCCTCAAGCCTAGCAGGTCTCGCGCCCGTCGCCACTATCAGCTTGTCGGTGTAGG